CTCGAGCACAGAGAAGTTTTCAAGCTGGTTTTAATCATCTTCACTTGCTGCCCCAGTACTGTACATGCAGGTACAAGCCAATGGAAATGTGAATATTTTTTTTTCCTTCCTTGGGAAAACTGGCTAAGTATTTTACAAAATAGCGTGCACCCTCACAGCCATCAGTCCTGCTGCATATAAACCACAAAAATACAAGAGTTTTACATTAAGAAAGACCACACGCGCACACATACACGCACACACATATATAAAACATTACATAAGACAGGTATAAAACTGCCATTTGCTTCTTTAAATCTATTACCATTCTCAAGTATCCATCACAAGCCCATCCCCTTATCTCGAACCATGGAAATGGGGTGTGAAGAACTGCTAAGTTCACCCCTTTGTGGCATTTATTTTAAGGTGGAGTTGTTAAATTTATGAATCTGTCATCAAAGCCAAGTTTATTACAAAATATAAAATGTGTTGGCTAGTGAAGGTAGTCAGATGTGTTGGTTAGAAGATCTTCACTTTCAGAAGTGCTCAGTGGAGTTGTGTCAGTGCTCTGCAAGCTCTAACCGTGCTTTTCCCCTAGGTAATGGAGGTGTGCAGAAAGATGTCAGGTTGGGGTTTGCCACTTAAATGGCGAGATGTTTGTTACTCTTTTGGCGTAAAAGCTGAAGGTCCTTCTAAAGGTCCTTCTAAAGCTGAATTGGCAGCAGTGATTTATTCTTGTTCTGAAAATCTGACGCGTAGTTTGGGTGATAGACTTCTTTGGAGGGAGTTCTTTTCCAATGCTACCTGTTGGCTACTTTATTGATGTGAAATTGCACAGGTTTCTGTATAATTAAAACCTTGCACAGCTTTCATGTGCTGCACCCCTGGTGTTGTCCATCTGAAGCAACTACCTGTAGAAGAAAGACTGTGGTTAGAGGTGCTGAGCTTGCTGCAGGGCTCTGCTCACTGCCTGGCTCCTTCTCTGCTCTTGGAGCTCTGGGCAACTCTTCTTTGCCTCCGTGTGCTACTAACCATTCTCCTTTTAGTGCGCTAACATAGTTTGAAGGGCATTGGCTATGTTTATAGTAAAACCCCTCACGTACATCTTGTTGTGTAGGATGAACTGTTCCATTTAGGTGTTTCTTCAAACCAAAAGTTGCATGTGTGCTTAGGGCTTGTAATTTTTTTCTGGTCCTCTTTTCTGTTAGTGATCAGTTTGAAAGGCTTTAATTCTGCTACTCCACTAAAGGATGTTTCCAAGTTGAATCTATGCACTTGTTTACTTTTATAGCCAAGGTATAAACTTTTGAGATTAATGACAGATTCTTGAGGGCTGGACTGTACTTTAAATGGTCCAGATGCTTGCTCATACCTACATTTTGAGGTGGGGAGTAGGACAACATGATGGGGAAGATAATTTAACCGCATGAGAAGATCAAGCCCTTTTAAGAAAAGAAGGCCACCAACTTCAAAGTGCTAACGGGCGAGAGGGCGGCCGCAGCCGGAGGCCCTCTCTGCATCGAACCTCCTCCGACCACAGCAGCATCTCGGAGCAGCATCCGGGGCTCCGGCACGTACGGACGGACAGCGATCCCCTCGGGAAGTCACACCAGTGTTGTTCGTCCCGCCGCAGCGCTGCTCTCTGCTTCTGAGGCTCCGTTTTTGTCCTCATTGAAGGCATCAAACCTCAGTGAGAGCTGAGGGTCCCCAATGCACCCCCGAGCCCTCCCGCTGTGCCGCCCCTCGCGCCCCACGCATTCACCTCCGTGCTGGCCCTTTGCAGGAGGGAAGGGGAGGATCATCAGGGCAGCAGGACGTGAGACACCCTCGTGTCAAGCTAAGGGGGGCCGTGGGGAGGCTTGTTCATCTACCTGCTTTTAAAGGGAGGGATGGAAGAGGGGGGATGCGGGCGGCGTGACCGAGTCCCCCCTCCGTCCTGCTCTCCTGCCTCTTGCTCCTCTCGCCCTGCGGGTAGCGAGCGGCAGCTCGGGCGAGTGCTGCCCCAAGCAGAGGGGCAGCGGAGGGGAAACGCGCGCCCGCCGGCGTCGCTCTCCAGTGCACAGTTACCACCAAAATAAAAATAACCTGAATGTGCTAGAGCGCACGGAGCTCTGGCTCTTAAAAATATATTATATATATATACAAATACCAATAGTCGGCACTCCAGCCAGGCACAGTGGTCACACCAGCAGTTGCCCAGCTGCGCTCTTTGCTCCTAGGTGTGCGAGGCTCTGCTCTGGTGGCTGTGCCCCAGGCAAATGATCAGGGGTTAAAACAGTGTGACAGTGCTTCAAGCAGCAAGACAAGATACTTAGACCCTTTGCTGTGTGGTTTTTTTTTTACCATGTCTGCTCTTAAAAACCTAAAACTTCCCAAAATACGGGCTAGCTCACCTAATATGACTGACTAGGTAAGTGTTATTGTCACCTCTGGCCACTTGCTCTGTTCTGTATCCCCTATTTGTGTTACACGGGGCACATCTTTACCCCCCAACTCCCAAACATGCTTTATTGCAGAGAGTGTTCTCTCGTTTTTTTGTCGTTGGGGAGTCTTTTGTGCAGCCTCTAGCACAAAAACCCAACTCTTGCACGCTTAAAACCTTTGAAGGGTTGGAGGACTTTGCCGTGCTTTGTGAACATGAGAACAAAACCTTCCCCTTGAGACAGCTTGGCTAGAATCACATTGGAACAGGCCACGGTGCCTTTGGCATATTACGGGATGCAGACCTTGCTTTTACTTAAAGCTGACAGTAATTTTGCAAATCTGCCTTGAGAGACCCAAAAAGCTACAGGGAAGCAGAGCGCTTTCTTAATGTCTTTTCCCATCTGTGATGCAAAGCGCATTTAGACTTCGAATTCAACAAGCAAGGAGAGCAGCGGCTGAACGCTGTTCCTTGACCTTTAAAACGCAGTTCTTTTCCAAATCAGCAACAAAACGCACACCCTTAAGGAAGCTTACAGCTGTGCATTGCCCAAGCACTTCACATCATCTGTCTGAGTCGAGTGGAAGGAAGCAGAAGGTGAGTTACTTAAGCCTGAAAAAATCACCAGGGCTCTCTTTACAAACGGCCTTCTCTTGGTAAAGACCAAGCCCCTCCAATTCCATGCTACCGTTGAGTATTTTAAAGCCTGCTTAAACAAGCAAAGGTCGATAAATGCGTTGAATTCCTCTCTCACTGATGTGTACAAACACGTACAAATATCTGCTTGACTTCCCAAGCCTGTTGGCCGCCGAGAGCCGTTTTGTAAGACACTGACCAGAAGCGATTGCCTCTCAGCAAAGACGATCCTGCTCTGGCTCCTTTAGGTATTTATGTGCAGTCGAAGGAATCTGGCCGCGTCTGGAATCGCTTCCAGAGAAAAGAGTTCAGATGTGGAAAAGGTGGCCCTGGAGGGACTGGTCCACGGCATTTTCCAGCACAATGGCACGGGTTTGGTAATCGCACTGCTGCCTGCTGAGTTTTTCAGAATTACAGACACAGCTCTGCAAGCATCTCGTCCCCAAGCTTTCTGTGCGCTACACAGGTGATGCAGCAGGGATTAATTTCCAATTAAGCCCAGAAGCCTTGGCAAACTTCTGGTGCCCTAGAAAGCTTCAGTCACCCCAAATTTGGCAAAACAAGCCCTTCTCTGGCTTGCCTAAAACCCAGGGATCGTTTAGGCCTGTGCCTGGAAACCCCATAGTGTTTTCTGTGCTTGCTTGCAAGGCTGAGACTAAAACTCTGCTCAGAGTTTAAGGGCTTTTTAAATCTCATTTCAGGGCTGTTTTGACAAAATGCATCCCGTGGCTCATTTCTGGTGCTGCCTCAAGTGTGGCACTAACATAAGCCGCTCTAGTGCCAGCGGTGCCCTCCGCTCCATAAGCTCTTTTCTGTCTCAAGCAGGTGCTTCATCTTGCTGCCCACTCCTCGTAGGGCCCGAGTATTGGATATAAAACGGCCTGCAAAGCTGTTTCCCTTGAAACTAATCATTCTCTCTAGGGGAGAGTATCTGGAAAGTGGAATGGGTCTGAATTTCCTTTCCTGATGGAAGGGATTCAAGGAGGAGGAAGAGGAGGAAACCACCTAATGCGTAACGCCTAGTTAGCGCAGCCACTTATGCAAATCATATAATCCATAAAAGTGCCCTTTGCAATAAAACATTCCCCCAGAAAAAAAGACCTGGAGTCCAGAAGCTGTCGTTCTTCTGGGGTGTCGTTATGTAGAAAGCAACTTGGGTGTCCTGGCTCTTTCTCTTGTGATGTTTGAGGCAGGGAAACGTCTGACACGAGGTATCAGGCATCCCAAGAAGGAGGAGGAGCTGGAGTCACGCTGCAAACACAACCCGCTCCGGGCTTTGCCCGTTTCTTCTTTTCTTTCACCCAGAATTTTCTGGTGGGTCCAGGCCCGGCTGCTTCCCCGCGGACGTGAGCGCCGCCTCCCTGGCCGTTGCAGGTGGAGAAGCTGAAGTCTGGATGGGTTTGAGTTTGTCTAGTGACTAAGGGACCACCCTTGGCAGTAGTCAATGGGGCAGCTTCCCTTCCCTTCCTTTCCCTTCGGGAAGCAGGAAGGCTCCTTCCCAGGAAGCCACGTGTGAACACACGGAGAACCAGGGTGCAGTTTTCTTCAGACCTTAGTTGCATCGCTGTCTCCTAACGCATCATCACTTTATTGATGCTAGAAAAATAAAAATCAATAGAAAAGTCAAAATATTTGGGTTTTCTGTCTCCTGTGGAGCATTCCCGTAGGCAGGTGTAGTTCTTTTGCCTGGGTGCTGTTTCTCCAGCTAGCACAGCACTCGTGAGCCGCTCTAGGCTGCTGCCGTGGGACACGCGCCCAGCTCCGTGTTTTTGCCGGGCTTTAGGAGCCGGTCTAGGCTGCATCTCACGCACAGCATCCTGCTCTTGCAGTAAAGCAGCAATAAAGCCATGGAGCTCACCGGAGAAGGGCAGAGCAGCAAGCTGTGCTCTGGAAAGCAAAGCGAGTCGGACGCGTGTGTCAAATCCCGTTCCGAAAATACCCACGGAGCTCCCGTGCTTTGTCCTTACTGCTCTTCTGCTTCCCCTCGGACACGCTTCTCTTTCACGGCACAGGGAAAGGCAGACTGCTCTTCTTTCTGCTCAAGTCGAGTGGCTAAAGCAAAAGCAAATGATGTTATTTTGAAGGAGAAAAGAATCTTTTAAGATGCCTTATTTAAACCTCCAGCACGCCGGGGCGGGAAGGTTTAGCGCAAGTCGGGCTTTGTTGACCTGCTGTGACCACGGCGTGCTGCGGGAGGATCCTTATTCCCTGCCGGGAATCGGAATTCGGTAAACGTGACGATCCATCGTGGCCGTCCACTCCCTCCTCCGAGGTCGGCAGTGCTCCTGCTTCGGTGCAGCTCCAACGTACGGGACAACAGCCGACCCTCCTCGACGCGCTGTTGGTGGTGATGGTGACATCAGGCGGAACAACCACCGAGCGGCCGGGTGTTGCTTGACCCCCGGGGACAGCTCATCGCGACAGTCGCGTCCCTTCAGGTTTGTTGTTGGTCCTTTGTGGCAACAGGTCCCTGCTCCTTCCTCGCTCCTGCAGGACAACCCTGGCCAGGGTTTTGTGCTCTGTGCAGGGTGAAATTCTCTTCCTTGCCAATAAACAGCTCTTTAAAAAGCCCAGCTGTGCTGTCGGTTGATTTGTATTAAACACCGAAGGTCAGAGCCATCTGGTAGGTGCAAATTCCCCGTGAACCTTTTGTCCTCTTCCAGTCTCGTGACTGCTCATCTTTTGGTGTACGTTTTTATTTATTTATTTTTTTTTTTTCTCTTTTTGGAAACTGATCCTTCAGGACAGTCATTGTGTTAACTACACTTTATGAAGAAACCAGAGTTTCTAGTGGTGTCTCCCCTGAGTATTTTCAGCAAATTTCATTAGGCACCTTCAAAAAAAGCTCCCGCGATTCTTGGTTTTGCTACAAGAACTGGTTCCCCTGGGGAACCAAAATGCTGCTTTTAAAAACAAACAAACTCCACAAACAAACAAACAAATAAAAAAAGACCCCAAAACATTCATCCTGGCAACGAATTCGGAGCATCTAGTCCTTTGTAGTCTACCTCAGTCACCCCAATTCCAGATCAGCGCAAGATGCGAGTGAGATGGTCCCCTGTAGCGTTCCCACGAGACAAGAGCTTAGAGAGAGGTGCGGGAGCCGCCGCGGCGCAGCCAGAGCCTCTTTCCTGCCGGGAATTGCGGGATTCAAGCGGCGAGCACGGAGCCGTGGCACGCAGGTGCTCGAGGAGGACCGTGGCACCGCTCACCGCAGCCTCGCGGCTCCTTCGCGGCGCTGATCTTGCGCTTCCAAGCGAGGCCTCGGCGGCTCCGCTTGGGGTCTTGGCTTGGCCCCGTCGGCAGCGGCACCCGGAGCAGGGAGCCCGGGCTCCCTGAAATGCACCTTTTTCCTGCTCCCTCTCACTTTGGCAATGTCACTTGTCACAGGCTACATGCTACTTAAACAAAAAACCTAAAAATTAAAAATAAGGAGGGGAAACAGTCGCCAGAGCTGCTTGCTCGGCGGCGCGGGGGCCGTGTCGGAGAAGTAATGAACAGGAACTGACAGGCAGATGTTTCCTGGCACTACAAAGAGTCTCGGAGATATTGCAGAGTGAGTGTGTTGAGTTAGCACGTGGCAAGCTACATAAGAGAAGATGCTACATTCCTTTCAAAAAAAAAAAAAAAAAAAAACAGTGCTGAGTTGGATTTTCTTCTTTTTTTTCTGAGTTTTTCTTTCCCCTTCGTGAAGGTCCCTTGTTCTCGGGGGGCAAGGGGGAGCGGCGGCGGGCGCCGGGTCTCGCCGTGCGCTCGCCTCCTTCCTGCAGCCCTCGCTGCCGCTCGGGACGAGGGGAGAGCAGGAGAAGGAGATTCCAAATAAAAAAAGAAAAAAAATTAAAAAAAAAAAAAG